ACATACAAATTCACATACACAATAACACCCAGACCCGAAACAACAATTTGTGGATCACACAAAGTGTTGTTCTGTGCGGGAATCGAACCCGCGACACGTTGCACGGCAGCCCGTTGCCCAGCCATCGCACAAACAATTGAAAATAATAAATAGAAACGGTGTTAAAACCGAGAAATAGTACATTTAGATATAGACACATGTATTTTTGTTAATTATAGTATTATGAATTTCAAGGCACCCGCACCCGTTTGAAGTTAACAAATTTATTATTAGTAGTAATTTGACCTATTTGACTACCAAATTGTTGAACAATGAGTTTATAAAAAGTAAAATAATTATGTGTTTTATTATTATTTTCAGTTGACGTGATGGCGGTTTGGTTGGACGTCTCGAGACTGCGAACCAACCGGCATCGGCAGTACCAGATCGAGTGGAGTTACAATAACACTGATCGATTGTAGATTATTCAAAGAGTTTCTTGATAGCTGTTTATAATATAGTGTGAAATTAATTAAATAAAGTACAAACTAACAATATTTGTTTATTTACTGTAATTTTTATGGGATAAGCCGATAAACGAGCATGCTTTACGGCTCGACCGGAGTGATACCACTGCCTCACAGGGAACCGGCGTGAAACAACGCTTGCGTTGTGTTTCGTCGTGCAAGTGAGGTTACCAGAGTCCCAACCCCCAAATCCCCCCACAATCCTCAAATGTCCAATTCTCAAAAGGCGCAATCGGTGTTGCCCATGGACACCTGGAACACCAGAGGCTTTGCAAATGCGTTATCAGCCTTTTAGGAATTACGAATTTGAGGATTGTTGGGGATTCAGGGATTGCGGAGATTGGGGAAGGGGGGGGGAGTTCTAATTGGACCTCCGGTAACCTCGCGATCACAACGCAAACGTTGTTTCATGACGGCCGAGCCGCCCCATTTGTGTCGAAGCATGGCCCTTTCACATTTATAAATTTCTGATAGTCTTGTCTACACACAAAGTCAGTCAGTTGCTATGGTGTTCAAAATTCAACCACTAAAATTAAATTAAACTACTGACTTCAGCTTCTGCTACGTTCAGGCGCCAAAGCAACCAGAATGACATAAATCTTGAGGAGTTACAAGATGCTGCCTCTAAGCTGCCTAACAGTAATTCGATGATTTTCCCCGTTAAAAAAAAATGACTGAAAAGTCGCTAAAAATATTAAGGGAAATGTATTTTTTATGAGTTACTTAAAGAAACTTTAAGAATTATTATGGTTTTTTTATGGCATGAGCCGGTAAACGAGCAGACGGATCACCTGATGGTAAGCAATTAAGTATTTGTGCCCATCTATCGCATTTGAGAATTGTTTAATCGTAATTTTTAGTAACATTTTATTTATAAATACCATTAGAAAATTAAATATACCATGGTCAGTCATATCGCATTCTGCTACTTTTTTGACAATGTTTAGATGGATAGAAACTATCAGCACAGTACTACGTATTTTAAAATTATGAAGTACTTAGCAATTATAGTAAATATTTTTTTGTCAGTTAAATTAATTTTAGGGTCTAAAATGCATAATAGAACAAAACATTGAATGGGACACCAATCATAATCTTTATCATAATTATATTAAGAGTATATTTAATAGTTTATTCTGTATGCCAAAGGAATGTACTTAATTTGTAGTTATTTTTATTTAAACAAGGTGGAAGTTGATTCATCTATTGTGGCCCCTTATTATAGCCGTCGCGGCGCTCCTTTCAGTCTTTGTATATAACTATCGCACTCATGCACACAAGCAGAAGTTTATTTGTAATACACAATGTTGATGTGTGCGACTTTAGTACAACTTGGTCATATGAAAAGGGAAAATCGCAGCACCCTTGTGCACTTATGTTTTCCTGGTACCATGAAGCTATTAATAGACAGTAATGGATGTCAATGTATAATGCTTTCTGCATCAGATTTGCTAACGAATGAATTTGAATAATTAAGTAAACATTTAAATTCTTTTTATTATTGATCATCTCTTGAAGAAAATTAACATATTTATATATTTACCTAAATCAAAGCATCAACAGTTTTCTTCCTCATTCTTTAGTAGTAGAAAAATAATGTAGCCAAAAATATAATTAATTTTACTACTTATTTTCTGTTATTGTTGTTGGTTAAAAACAAAATGTTAGCTTAAAATGTTATCTGAATATTATAATTATAATAAGTTATTCAATTACAAAGTTTGTGTGAATAAATACTAAATAATTATCATAAATTCATCTACAATGGGAATGGATCCCTAGTAAAGCCGACATAGGCCGCCAGTCATTCTAAACAAACTTATTTGTTGTGTTTTAAATAAATTTCGAAAGAATCAGCGCTTTGTAACTGGTCACCCATTTGCTTCGATAAATCTGTTTGGATGTCACTCCCGTTGTATTTTGATCCTTGTCGGTCTTATGCGAGCTGTCGCTATTATAAAGTCCCAATAATTTATTTAGTCACTCATATTGACAATTATGAAAATATTTTTTTTTATGGTTAAGGAGGCTGCCCATGGACACCCGCAACACCAGAAGAGTCACAGGTGCGTTGCTAAATAAGGTAAATGCTTCTTAGTTAACTTTTTTATATCATTTAACTTTTTGTTTAAGATTTTCTTCAATGCTGGAAAATGACAAAAACCTGCATCGCGCATCTGAAGTTTTCTTGCGACTTCGAGAGGATAGCAAATTTCAACATTGAATAAAAATATATCAGAACTACTGTTTGTCTTTTTTAATCAATTTATTTTCTTTATCATTTTCTAGAAAAAAGCTGAATGTAGTTCACTATTATACAATGCTCTTATTTAACCAGATGAGATAAAAGGTTTTAGATTTAATGGGTTTTACTGGTGTCATTATTTATTTTATAATCTGTATTTTAACTCGTCGAGTACCGTCACTATAGACACAATTATAGAACAATAGGTTGCGGTCACCGGTGACCGCTTGGTGTTTGACAGTTTAATAATATAAATTTTTGTAGACTATTTGCAGATACGAATGGTAATAAATACCACTCGCCGCGTCACTAAGACATTCAAATTCAAAGTCGGTAATTTCGGTTTTATGGATTAAATATCTCGTCATCTAAACTTACTAAATAAAAATCATAACACAGTGCAGCGGTGAGCTAAAATGGGGTTGGGGTTGTTTAGCGTCTATATAAGTTACATACATACCATACGTATAAGTTCATTATACATTTATGTACAGCAGTTATCGATCAAAATCTGTCTGGGGTGTGCCTACCTTAGGGAAGCCATCATGTCGATAATATCGATAGATTTTGTATCAAGAAATTGAGAGGTACAGCCAAATTAGAAATTGGAATTCTAATGTCCTGATTATTTCAGACTCAAAAATTATACCTTACAATGCTCCGAGCGAGATACGCGCAACGCAGTTATAGGATGTGTCAAAGTGTAATCGAGCGCTGGGTTAAAATTTTAATATTCTCTATCTATATTTTTATATAACGATTAAATAATGAACTAAAAAACGTGTTAGCTTTAAAAATATCGTATCATTTTTGATCAATACTTTAAATTTATTAGAAGTTATTGTGAATGAACCGTAGGAGATGATGATGTGGCGACACACACTAAAGTTTCAATGACATAATTATTAGGATTCGTTTATGTATTAAGATATTACTTCGTTTCGTTTTAAAATATCATTTTTGCTGAATTTCAGTACTAAGTAGGAAATACCTTTGGTAGAAAGTTTATTAATTATTAATTATACTGATACTTGTCTAATAATTAAGTGTAGCAATAGTAGTAATATTCCGCGAGGAGGGACCCCGAAGACCAAACAAAGTCTAAACAATTGGTAGTAAAAGTAGCTAATAATTTGAATCACCAATTATTGTATATTGAGTCAAAATTTGAGATCATACCCCGGGCATACGTGTACATAGAACAATTCCCAATCTGTGTGGCGTATGCCTTAACATTTCACAAGAGCCAAGGTCTAAGTCTAAAACAAGCCATCACAGACATTGGCACCTCCATATTCTCTTGTGGTCAAACCTACGTGGCGCTTTCACGAGTAACCAATCTTCATGGGGTGCACCTCATAAATGTTGACTTCAAGAGTATAAAAGCTCAAGCTTCAGCGATCACCGAATACAACCGGCTTAGGCGTAAAAACCGCACCGATCTTCAGAAATTAAACCGTTTAAAAGAATAAATAGTGAACGCGAATGGGCGATACGAAAATATGTTGCTACTACTGTATAAGAATCAGTACCGGAAAAAAGCAAAAAAGATTGAAAAAACTGTTCCTTAAAAGAAAAAAAGTGTCAAATAAAAAAATCTAAAAAAATAAATAAATATTCCCACGTTTCTACAAAAATAAATGAAAAAAAACCAAAACCATTCAGTAAAAAACTAGCCAAATCTCGATGGAGTTGCTAGTTTATTTAACGGCAAAGTCAAACAAAATTATAATAATAACAAAATCGCAATAAAGAATCTTAGACTTGGCACGACTTTGTTATATTTCATCATTAGAGATAAACTAGCACCTCCATCGAGACTTGGCTAGTTTTTTACATAATGTTTTTGGTGGGATTACGTCTTACTGATTTGATACAGATTCAGAACTGAGTGGTTTTAAAGACAATTAAGAGAAAAAGGACAGTAGGCAAAATACACCCAGCTCCGCCACGGTTCAGACTACCCCTGTTTGAAAGGTATGTAGGTTTGTAAGGATATTAATACGTTTTTGGGCAATAAGTAGAGAACCCCGGGACAAAATTTCATGAGGTTCAGTACAGTGAATCATGGTGATACCTTCCAACCAGAAGTAGTCTGACGAGGCGGACGTGGGTGCGCCGCCCATACAATTTTTTCCGCAATCCTTTCAATACTTTATCGATAACACTGCTATATCAACACTGTACATCCCTAAAATACAGACGCTGCCGTGGGCTCATCTAACCAGTCTCGTTACGTTCTATTTGCGATACAGACGTGTTTGGCAAAATTATTCCCAGTATTGATTATTTTATGTGTTGAAATATTGCTAAAGCCACGAGTCCGGCGAAGCTTATACAGGTAACGTATATACGTTTATAATGGATGAGTGAAATAAAACTAGTATTCGAAGATTATATTAATAATTTTATTGAGTGAGTGAATGATGTCACAGAAACAAGAGGTATTAATAGGAAGCAAAGTTGTGGTATCGTCGGTAAGAGGACGTGCGGACTTTAATGAAGATATCTGGCAGAGGTCAGGCTCGGAGAATGAGGGAATGAACTATTAGTATGATAGGACATAATATGTAGGGGAAGCGTGTGTTTGAGAAAGATAATGATGATGATGATATATGTATATAAAATGTATTTTTTTACAGTTGGCGTTGGCCATCACCAAGATGTCTACCACTGCAGCGACGGTCCGGTGTAGCGATGATTCTACATGTATGTATTACTTTTGCTACTAAAAATATAAATGTTACGAAACTATTTAAAATGTATGCACTTATTGTCAGCGTCCAATTTTTCTCAAATTCAAAGTAATAATTAGAAACGGTGTTAAAACCGAGAAATAGTACATATACTTCTAGATATAGACACATGTATTTTTGTTAATTATAGTATTATGAATTTCAAGGCACCCGTTTGATGTTAACAAATTTATTATTCAAAGATTAAATGCACATCATTGTAATAGTAATTTGACCTATTTGATTACCAAATTGTTGAACAATGAGTTTATAAAAAGCAAAATAATTATGTGTTTTATTATTATTTTCAGTTGACGTGATGGCAGTTTCGTTGGACGTCTCGAGACTGCGAACCAACCGGCATCGGCAGTACCAGATCGAGGGGAGTTACAATAACACTGATCGATTGTAGATTATTCAAAGAGTTTCTTGATAGCTGTTTATAATATGGTGTGAAATTAATTAAATAAAGTACAAACTAACAATATTTGTTTATTTAGTGTAATTTTTATGGGATAAGCCGATAAACGAGCATGCTTTACGGCTCGACCGGAGTGATACTACGGCCTCACAGAGAACCGACGTGAAAGAACGCTTGCGTTGTGTTTCGTCGTGTGAGTAAGGTTACCAGAGGCCCAATAACCCTCCCTCCCCAGTCACCTCGACCCCCGAATCTCCCACAATCCTCAAATTTCCAATTCTCAAAAGACCAGTAACGTACTTGTTACGCCTATGGTGTTTCAGGTATTCATGGGCGGCGCAGATTGCTTACGATCAGTTGATTCGTCTGCTCGTTTACTGACTCATACCATAAAAACGGTGCAATCGACGTTGCCTATGGATACCTGGAACACCAGAAGCGTTACAAATGCGTTACCAGCCTGTTGGGAATTACGACTTTGAGGATTGTTGGGGGTTCAGAGATTGCGGAGATTGGGGAAGGGGGGAGGGCTAACTGGGACTCCGATAACCGATACTTACATGACAAAAAACATCGAAAACGTTGTGTCATTCCGGCCGAGCCGGACCATGTGTGCCGAAGCATGGCTCTTTCACATTTATTTTAATTAAGTTAACAAGCAGTTTCTGGTAGGCTTGTCAACACACAAAGTTAGTCAGTTGCTATGGTGTTCAAGATTAAACTACTTTGACTTCAGTTTATAACCCCTACCCTTTTGATATGGAATTGCGAAGGAGAATTATCGAATAAACATATATATTTCATTGTTAAAAACAAATTATATTGGTATCTGCATATTCATATTTATAATAAGTTTTATACATATTATAAATTCGGTTGAATTGTTTGGCTGTTAAGAGTGTGAACGAGCAAATCTGTAATTAAGAAATGTTTCCAATCTCGTTTAACATACATCAGGTCGTACAACATTTTTGCACACATATAAGAAACAGC